GGAGGTGTTAGCTGAGAAGCTGTTTTTTTTTAGCTTCTCAGTGCAGCTCCTCGTAGCTACCCTGCTCTCCCTCACCAAACAACGTCAACACTGATGCCGTACTTACCCAACGGAAACTTTATCATGTTCTACATCGGATATTATCTCTACTCAATTTGTATCCTATATATCTGTATTTTCCTTTTACTACTCGATGAAAATTAGCCTTTCAACTCGGGTACATTTACATCTGTCTGAATGTTAATAAATGTCCACAGTCCCTTTTCAAATAATTAAATAAACAGCTGCTCTAATGAAGTTGGAAATAGTCATAACAATAGACTGTGTCAATGAATTTGGGTAGTTTCAGGTGCATATGTGTCAAATACTGACTCAAATCCCATATTGTTTATACCCTTAATTACTATATGTTGCTACACTAAGTATTATTTTGTCCTAAACACAAAATGTGCAAAAACATAAAAACTATTTTTTGAGAAAATATATATAGTATTTTTATTCTGGTATTCGTCCAATTAAGAATTCTAATTGAACTCTCATATATTGTGTGTAATATTTATAGGTCGACTAACCTCTCTTGTCTTTAGTGGACAACAAAGTTTTATTTTGAAACATATATGCACTTTAAAAGTTTCTGATCCCACATTAATGGAGAATATGCTCCATTTGTGCAGAATTGTTGGGGTGATATAAAGTAATTGCTATTTATTTGACAAAAGAAAACAAACTTTCTACTGTCCTCTGGCTGACATAAGCCTTTCTTGGGTTACATGCACAAAAAGCTGTATCAATGTTTGTTTCTATGAGATTGTTGTGGAGGAAGTAATATGCTGCTGAAGGGAAGAATGTCTTTTTCCAAGCCGAATGACCCTTTCGGTGCTCTTCTTTGCCTTTTATAGTTGAGGATCACCATCACACTCCTGGCCTTGGGTTACATAATTAACTTGAGCCTGGGATGTCTTTTAGTCCCACATACTGACAGTGGCCAACTGCGGTCTGACAAAACATATGTGCTCACACAAGTACTAACAACACACAAGTATCACACAAAACATGTGCATGCATGTCAATAAGAACTAATTTTTCCAAAATTCAATCGCAGCAGTTAGGATCTCCCTCACAATGAAACACAAGTGCTTTGCTAGGTCAGTCTCCAGGGTTCATCCCTACTGAACAGCAGATGTGGATGTAAATGAGATCATAAAACCCACAACCATACTCAAGAGTTCTATATATAGTCATCCACTTCCAGCCTCTGCCAAATTCAGTTACACAAAGAATTTAACACATGGCCTAATGGACAGAGCATTCACCTAATAAATAAGGGCCTAAAGCCTGTGTAAAATGAAGTGTGTGTGTGTGTCTGTATATGTGTGTGCAGATTCAGAAGGCTTAAAGCAAAGGAGGTAAGAGAGAGGGATAAGGGCTATCCCCAGATTATCTACTATCTTAATCAGAGTTATTTAGAGCACTGCATGTTTGACTTTGTGTGTGTATGAATATTTGTTTGTGTGTGACTGTTTAAAAAGGCACTTAGTCAGGGAGTTCCCTGAATGTAATGAGGTGGAGGGGCCAGGCTGACGCATTAGCACACTTAACTGAACCCTGTGACTGGGACACAGCTCTGTGGTCGAAACCTTGCCTGCCATCTGTAAACAGACGGCAGAACTGTATCTGCACTACTTTTATTTGTAATTAACCAGAGCAAAATGTATTTTTAGTTGCTAAGAACAGGAAAACTGAAAAATACAAATAAACTTTAAGGCAGGGAATTGTAATGCATAAAAGGTTTAATGTAACTCTGGGAATCCCTGCAACATTGCTGTTCTAAGCTGCTTTGTTTTGGGAAAGATGAGTCCTACAAAGCCTGACTAGAAAACCTCAGTGCTTGCACAGAGATGCCTATTTGTATATTAAGCCACCAAATTGAATATGTAAAACACATATTTCATGAGGTGATGCATCCATGTGTGGTTAATAAAAAGGACAATACACTGGAATATTTGCATTAAAAGACTTGATTTTTAACAGTGTGTGTAAAAACCATGATATAGAAATATTAGAAAAAATAGCTCAGAGAAGGGATGTTGATCAAACTGAGGAGTCTGAGTAAACAGCACATTTATGATCCATCAGACTGATGACATTTAAAATCAGTGGTATACTATTCCAGGAGGCATGTGAGGACACAGCCAGAATCTAATATAGGCTTAGTCTAATCATAGAGTAAATGGACTGATGTTTCACTTCGAGGTGAAGAAGGTGGGTTCAGGGCAACCTGCACAAGCCAGTTAATTTTAGAATGGAAGTTAGATAACTGGCCTTTGCAGAGGGATGCCTGCAGAGGGAAAATACCAAATTATCCCAAAATTAATATGTTACATCACAAACCCTGTGCTGCTCTGTACCGTGTGTGACGGTCTCATTTAGACCAGATTAAGAGTTCAAAGGTTCAGTTTGCCCAGCCACACATTCACTGCAGGAGACCTTCGTTGGCCAGGTTTGCCCAAACATGGTCAAAGATATGGAGGACACACACACACACACACACACACACACACACATATTCCGATTGACCTATGTGAAGTTATTTAGACACCTATGTAAATCATTTGGAGAGGATTCAATTTTTCCCTAGCTTATCTCACTCCACTTTAAATGTACGGTTTTGCTAAATATGAAAAGAATTTGTAGCATCCCTGACACAGTGCCTTAAGATGATCAAACAGTGGCTTATTAATTTATAATGAATGATACTACAAACTTCACAACACTGGCAATCTCCATATTAGAGAATGTAAATTGCTGAAATAGAAGCAATTCATCTATTCTCCTGACTGATATCCCTCTCAAAGGGAAACATGGGGTGTGTGGGATTACCTTGCAAAGAAGAAAAAGGAAAATAAGTAACAAACAGAAGCTTAAGATTTTACGATAAGGAGAACTGGGCAAGGGGGAGGACAGTGGGAGGGAGTAGCAGTTACTCAAAACTATGGGATTTCTCCTATTGCCCAAATAAGTACCTATTAAAAGAGCATTTGTGCCCCGCTGAGCTGACGATAAGGCAGCCAGGAGAAAGGAGCAGTAGAAATAGAACATGTCCATATAGAGAGGGGAGCTTTGGAGAGTGGGTGCAGGAAGGGGGTAGGACAGGGGCAGGGGTTAAATGCTTCCCCAGAATGTGTGCTTTCCACTGGCGTAAGCCCAGTGAAAGAGTCCCCAAGTCCCCGCTGACTGACTTACCCTGAGGGCCTACTATGAGCATGATTGAGCACAGAGCAGCTGAACAATTGGCCAAGAAATAACAGCTTTTAAATCGGTTCAGCATTCAAGTGTTGTGTTTACTAATATTTGAAAACACTAACTATGAGAGACTGGAGGTTTTTCCATCAGGTCTTTCCCAGGCAAGAGTTTTAACCACTAGACTGACAGAGGAACAGAGAAGATAAAATCAGAAAGAGGAAAACCTTTCTTGACAAACACATCACAGATGTTGCTCTGCTCTGACACCATTGGTCTCCATAGCAACCTTGCTGGCCAGTAATAGCCTCTAGCTTGCCTGGCTGCAGTGGCGTCATAAAAGACGCACACACACATGCACCATGGACATACAAGCGATCAAATTTTAGCTTTGAATGGGATACTGGGTATTTATAGAGACAGAAGGAGTGTGTAGCCCACCCAAACCTACCACCCCTCTTGGCCTTACCAGAGAACACTCACATACCTAAACAGAGACCATCTATCCCCATCATTACAAACCCTGGCCTCACACACACACACACGCACACACATGCACACACGCACCCCTCGCACAAACACACACACAGACACACACACACATAAAAAACGATCCACGAGTCCCTTGATTCTAGTAAACAAGCCCTGTAATTGGTGATAACAGATAGCTGGGAATTATACATTAGAGCTGGCTTCTGTTGCTGTTTTCCCTTGTACATGCAAAAAGCACTGACTAAGAGAATCCAAAGATGCACACTCATTTCAACATTAAGCTTACGTACATTTTGCAAGGAATGACCTTTAATACAGATGATAATGTCCTGTAACTAATGCAAGTGTGTTGTGTTCAGGTTCTGCAAAACATTGCTTTTATTTACAACTTTGCCATAATATCAGACGTCCCTGGCACTTGGACGCACCCTAATCTCATTGAAAAAGTTAGTCAGGTTTTACAATCTTTGAACCTTGAGAAGCATGCCTCATGGGATAAAAGAAGACTCCTTACGTTGTATTCTGTACTATAGCTGAGTTTCATATTGATATACCTACCCTGTTACAAGATCAACTTGTTTACAGATGTTAATATCAGAAAAACCTCTATTGCAGCCTAAAATGCGTGTTGTGTAGCTTTTCTTGTAGCAATTCTTTTACAGCAGATTTCTGTCCCCTTCACCAGGAGTTCAAACAACAGTTTGCAGATATAGGGGGCATGAACTCCGGATTTTACTTTATATCCAAGCTAAAAAAAAAAAAAAAGACAGCAGACTAACTGGCTTTTTTGGCCATTTCTGCTGTGATGGTCTGTTTGATCCATTCATATCAAGCAAAAATGTCCAGAATTGATCAATATTATCCTCTTATATTCTAACTCAACTCATACTAATTGGTTTTCCCCATTCAAGACAACTGCATCCAACTATTTAATTTTCACTGTGTGTAATTTTCTTTTGCATGTTCCACCAATTCATTTAAAATGTATCACTTTATTTACTGACACTGTGTTTGACAACAAACTACTGTCTTCTAGACTTTCTAAATCATACATCTGTCTGAATCCAAAGAAAGCAACACACTTTGTACTCATAAGCGCTTTCATCACAGCCCACTTCCACATAAACTAACGTGAAATTACCCTGTGTTTAATGGTGACAGCAATTTGCTGTTGAGGCAAGGCTGTGAACTGATGATGACGTAATGGATTGAAAAACCTTGAAAGCTTCTGTACTGTATATGTGGGAGTTAAATAAAATTGTACTTACCAGGTAACAGACAGAGGGACGGAAAACTAAGGGGAGGGGACACACTGGAGGACAGCACTGGACCACTCTAGAAAGAAAATAATGGAGATAATGGAAAGAGAGAGGAAAAAGTGGGGGGAAACAGAGCAAAAAGGATATTAGTTAAATGTAATTTGCACATATCCAACTCCCTGCTCACTTCATTATTCAGCTGCATCTTGTACACATACAGTTATTACAGATACTCGTGATGCCTTCAGGGGAGACACTGACACACAAATAAGCGTGTCTCTTCACAAGCACACAACACACACAGGGGTGTAATCACTCTTTCTCTCGTGTGCTTCTCATCCTATTTGGCGTTTGTAGATTTTTAATCATTCCTCTGGCTTCTGCTTATTAAACTTTTAAGTGCTTCCCTAAAGAAAAACTGCCTTCGTCAGAGCGTGAGGTGGAAATGAGCTGGCAAATGAGACAAAAGGCGCCACCTCCGCGTCTGCTCTGCTGTAGCTTTAAGTAGTCGGTATGTCACTGAGGATAAGTCAACTAAAAGCATAAGATGTAAATGCCAAGGACAGATTGGGTCAAAGCGATGGTCAGTGAGACACAGCTAAAAAGGAAGAAAATTAAGATCGTAAAGAAGATAATTCTCCTTTTGGCAGGACTGCTTATATCCTTAAGTCTGCACCAAAGACAAGACAGATTCTCCAACATTTCCTGTGCTTTGTGGTGACTGTGACTCGGCTCGTGTCCCACCTCACCTCACCATCACAGCTCCATCCTGCTTCTCTCAATACAGGACAGGAACTGTAGAAGTAAAGCTGTCTTTAAACAAGCCCTTTGCAAGATATACTTTGCTATATAAATGTAGACATGGCAGTATGGATTTCAACACCTACATGTGGAAAAGTTGCTGCTGTGCAAAGTGTATTTACATCCAGGATTATGCCATCTTATTAATGTTTATTTTTGTGAGCTCAGTAAAAAAAGCGCATCCTGTGACTGGCCCCTTTGCTCCGGTTTGCAGAAGGATTATCATACATTAAATCAAAAGGTAGATTTTTCTAAGAGGATTGAAAGTGACTCCATTACGTGTGTCTAAGGACAACAATATGGTTATATGTACCATAATACTGAACATTCATTCTGATGTCAGCATATATTAAATACAAGCAAAACTGATATAAAAGCACACGATAACCTAATTAGTGTGCAGAAATACTATATCCTATCAGACTGCTACACAGCATCCGAAAGATTTTACCCTGGAAACAGTTTCCATCCTGCCATTCCCACTGTTTGGTCATTTACACCAGCTCTCTGTCCATTACTTCCTGAATGGCCATTTCCTGAAGGGTGTGTCGTTCCCAGGGGAACCATCTTTAGAGATGCTCAACTATCTGAATTTCATGAACACCCAGAACAAGACTGGATTAAAACCATAAAGGACATGTGTCAGTTAGTGTGCCTGTCTCTCAGATGAAAACTCGCCCTCGTTAGGCACACGGCAGCAGAGCAGAGAGTTTTCTCAGGAAAGCTAAAGGCAAAAAAGAGCCTGGTGCTCTGCTGAAGTAAAACAAGGGTCCATATATTCTACAGTATATTTAAACATTTTGTGCCTCTGAGGGGCAACAGGTCCCTTCAGGGGCGTGGGCTGCCGTTTTTGAATGGTAGGGAAGACACTGAATTAAGTTGCTCCACATATAATCCATGTAACCCAACAGCACTGATCTCATTTATATTAAGGTATGATGAAACTTGTTCTGACATGCTAAACGTATTTATACTTTATATGGTTAGGCAAAAATGGTGGAATTGCAGGGCACACATGCATTGAAAGCAACTTACCATCCAAAGATGAGGGAATTGTTGTGAAAAAATAAAATTGTGATGCCATTGCAAGGATGTTACTGTAGCTGGTCTAGTAAACCCCTCAATGGGAATATTGTTCCCGCTATAGAATGTTGGGAAGACATCTTTACTGGAAACTACTTTATTCACTTACTCTACTGGTTTTAAATATACCATTCATTTTGGAAAGGAAGACAATCTTGTAAACGTTGGAGAAATGCTTACCTAATAAAAAAACTGAGCTGCTTGAAACAAGCATGGCTATTGTTAGTGGTGGTTCAGAATGCAGCAACCATGGGCATGCTGTTTTGGTTGAAAAGCTGATATTTTAAATTTGAAATAGCTGTGCCTCTTTGCCAATGTTTTGCCACATATGAAGGACAGGAAGACAGCTCATGAGGCTGTATCAAAGGAAATCTGGGCTTTAGACAAACATGATGGAATGGTTTATATTGGTCTTTTAACCAAAAACGATTTACTTTAAACGAAAGAGTTAAACACGAAAAAAAATCAATTAGTAATCAGGAACTGATTTTAGGAGTCGACATTTCTCAGACAGGTAATCAGTCATTGATTGACTCAGTATTGATCCCGCTCGATCCATTCTGTCTTTGGACTCATCTATCTGCTATCTATCCATCTCGCTCTCTCTCAGACTCATCATCTCTCACAGTGGCAGCTTATGTGGATCAAATATTCGACATGTCAAGTGGCCTCAATGGTCGAGAGCTGTTCACAGGCCTCTTCAGTCAGGGGAGAGGATCAGTGGGTACTCTGCACCAAAAAAGGGAAGTTGTGTCATGTATGCAGAAACTAGTATTTATGTTCAGCTGAGCATCCTGGAGAGAACTCCACAGACAGATCCAGAGACTTAGAGGGACAGCAGACAGTTGGACAGAGAGAGGAAACTTCATTGAAATAGGGGAATGTTTCCAGTAGATTCATAATTTATTAAAATTCTCTAACACTGATTAAGCTTTTGGGATCCCGTTAGGGAGGTCACATCCTGGACTGTGAGATAGCTAAGATGTGGGTTTTAAATGGTCTTACATGCCATGTAAAGTAGCAACGGTGCAGCAATGAAATTAGCAGTTAATATTACTTTATTTAAATTTCAACATTAATCAGCCTTTTCTGCATCCAAAGAAGGTTTATGTGCTCAGTTTGTTTCTAAAGCCAAACACATGGTGGGCAACCATGGACCAATTTTAGCAGTGCAGGACCTCTCCAAAGATGGTCTGCTCAAATAATCCTATCTTTATCTACATAACAATATAAACACGTGAAATACATGCATCCCAAAGTCTGCCTAGTCCCTAAAGCCCAAAAAAGGAGAAAATCATTTTATAAACACGTGCCACACATTTCACCAATCTGACTGATCCCTTCATAAATGGGCCATGCATTTACTACATCAGGCCAATCAGATGAAGGCCACAGTGCTCAGATACATTCGGATGCAGAGGATGTAAGTGCTTTTAATTTTCTCTGTGAGGTTGGCCAGCATGAAAGTTTAGGAAAGAGAAAGGAGCAAAGTCAATGAGGTAAACTAAGATACTATATATTTATTTCACGACATATCGTCATTGCATTATTACACAATCTTAGCCCACATTTTCTTTTAGCACAGCTTTTTGATTACAACAGGTCAGAGAACGTACTGAACTTCAACACACTGTCAGTGCTGATGGTTTTTATTCAAAGTAGAAAATGCTTCCAGCGTGCATCCTTCATCAGAACGATACAAAATATAAAACAGTATATTCCAAATTGAGAAGACTGTTAGTACTTAAATCCTGCAGAGTGGAAATAAACGGCTCTATTATTTTCAATTCGATTTGTTGGTTTTAAAAGTAAGACTCAACAACTTCAACAAAAAAAGAACTCAACTTGCATGAGTGTTAGCATGGAAAATCAAAACTAATCCAATTCAAAGTAGAGTCGAGGAATGGATACACAATATCCAACAAAGAATGTGCTTTCTGCCTGAAATGCACGCTTTGTGGGTGCGATTAGAGTATTTGTGTATTTTTAGAGGGTACCATTCCATGTAACATTCAGCGGTGCAGCAATAATTCATTTGATTAGGGCAACAGGTAAGAGGCTGGTAATCTCACCCCTGCCTGCCAGAGGATTTAAATGGTGTAAACAGTGGCAGCTCCACCATCATCACTCAACCTGTGACAGCTCTACAGGGGAACCACACAGGGGTGCTGATTAAAAGGACAGCACTGTTATCCCAGCCAAGCGAACACACACACATACACACATACTCCCACTGGTATCATAAGATGGGATATGGCAGGGGAAGTGACATTATCAATGTTACTATTAATAGCCCAGTTTTAAAATAGCACGCAGACTTTTACACACACATAAGGAAAGTTGGGGTTTTAAACCAACAATGACTTACTTGCAATGTCTGAAGATGAGCCATAGATAAATATATATGCCTTTATAGCGATGTGTTTTATTCAAGTAAACAGCAAATGGCTGGAAGAGTGACAGCCCCCAAAAAAGAAAAAAGAAAAAAGAATCTTGTTTAGGTGTGAAGAAAATGACTGGAGGATCAAGAGATAAAAGCATGTGTCCCCGACTCAAGACATCGACCCAGCTGGTAACCCGACATGCAGCTCTCTGTGGGACTCTCTGTTGCCTTCTTGGCGGCAAAGAACAGCACCTGTCAGTGTACTGCAGAAGATGACACTCTCATATCGTCCCGGATGTCTGCTATTCTTGCTTCTATATCGCTCTTTTGAGAGTCTCTGTGAAGGGGAAATAAACAACACCAATTTTCTGACCGGAGGAACCCTCTGACAAATCCCAGCCCCATGTTTATAAAGCTGCTCTGTCCCATACAGCTGTGGGATTTCTCTCAGCTTCAAGTAGGGTCATGAGATTGGAAAGTGTTGAAGAACTAAGATGTGAAAAAGGGAAGTATATTCTAATAGTCTCTACATTTCTGTCTGGATCTGTCAGAAATCTAAACACACAGTAAAGTTGTTTCACGGAGTATAAGTGAAATTAAAAGGTAAATACTGTCAAGAGTCTGTACATTTAAATAAGCAGCTATACCAGTAGCCAGCTACCACAACTAGAAAGAGCCGGATAGCTTGCTCTGTTCAAAAGTGAAAAAAAAGAGAAGCTTTTAGCACTTTTAAGCCCACTTATAACACATATTTGTGTGATCTTCGATACCTATTTACTAGTTGCTGTTGTGCTGTTGCCAGGTAACCA